GAATTGGCCCTGCTTTGAGCAGGGGGTTGGACTAGATGACCGCTTGAGGTCCCTTCCAACCCTGATATTCTAAATAAAAAAAGATTGAGAGAGCATTTAGTGCTTGGGAAAGGTCCTATACTGGCCGTGGAAACTCTTCCACACTGCCTCTGGCCTGCTACTGTGCAAGGTACCCTGACTTGGAGGGATTATGTTACCTTAGTTTGTTCCCAAATCTATTCAGTCACTGGTCTCTTTGCTGAGAAATGGAGAGAGAACACCAGCCAATTTCACATAAGCCGTCAAATAGCTACAAAACGACAACAACTGTTGATCTAGCAGGATTTGATCCAGCAAAGTAGAAGAGAGGAAAAAGGACCTATCTCCCATTACTAATCCCATAAATCCCACTGGGTTCTCAACCTGTTGAAATATTCTCAATCTAAACTATTTGTCTACATGGCGTGCTAGTCCGCATTGAAGGGGTATACATTTTAATGCGCACTAGAGAGGTGCACTAAAAGTTCCCTAATGTTTGAAAATGGACTACACTAATGTGCACTAGGGAACTGTTAGTGCAAGCCAACAGGTCCCCTCAGGCCAGCTGATGCACAACAAGACAGTGTATACAAGAGTTTACACCCCTCTGGTGTGGACTAATGCACTGTGTAGATAAGCCCCCAAAATAAAAACTCTCTGGTATGAGGACTACAGGTTAGCAAATAACTTTCTAATTCCATTTTCAGGTGTCTTCTCGGTAAATCTCACAGTTCCCCAGGTGAAGCCACTGACAGGTGTAATATTTGCCTATGCTTTCATTTTAATTTTTCATATGCAGGGAAAAAAAATTTCCATGTGACTCTCTCCCATTCAGACACACTAGAACTGGAGGGAGAGGTCGCCTGGGTGAAATTCAATGTGGACATGAATGGCTATTACATTGTGCACTATGAAGGAAATGGCTGGGACAACATCATTAAACTGTTGGATCAGAACCACACCCTTTTCAGCCACAAGGACCGAGTGAACTTGATCCACAATGCATTTCAACTGGTCAGGTAACAAACCTTTCCTATTTTAATCTGATGAAAAAAAATACCAATTTTTAACAGGGAAGAAGCAAAGATCTGTGTGCCAAAACAAAAGAATAAACTGCACCTCCTACAGTGCATGCATTTACTGCTGTATCGTGTGCAAATTGGATGAATGCATATTCAGACATTTACACAGGTGTCTAATTAACAGTTTGCACCACTATGAACACGCCCTTGGCAGTATTTTCAGGCCCAGTCACAGGGTCATTTTTTTGTTAGCATGAGGGCAACCTCCTGTTGAAAACTGGACCATCAGAGCGAGAGCCAGAGACATTCAAACTTAATTTTTAGTATCTCTCTGTGTGATGTGGATCCAGAAGCCAAAGTCACAGAACTCATTTCGCTGACTCTCCTACAGGCTGAAAGGAGGATTGCCTTGAGCAGCAAAATATTTAGTTAATAGTGAGAGAGACTGTGCAAGGGCAGAGGAGTAAACATTTCCCAGCTTCCCTAGGTCAAGCATAACCCTGAAGTTGATGCTCCTTGAACAAAACAGACCTCCTCATAGGTTTGTAGAGTCCAGATACAGAGAGGCTGAGGAAAAACTATTTGGCTTTCACTTCATCACCTTTCTCTTAATTTCACTGAAGGCAATTACCAGCATGTGGGGATGGTTTGGGCTCATTGCTCTTTCCCATAAAGACAGGCCACCTCTTTCTTTTTAATTTTCTTAGAAGACTTTGCTTGGGAAAGATCAAATGGTGCATCCCTCCTGGAAACTATATTTTGGACCGCAGGTTTCTGTCTTTGAAAACTAATTTAAGAGAAAGGTTAGCCGTCAATTTCATGCACTATTTTAATTGCACATGCTTGCTTGAATCATTTCCAAGGAGGATGGCCAATAAGGAGGTTTGAGAGAGCTGGGTAAGGCACCCCTCATTTCCCCAAGTTTGGACACAGCTCACAGAACTCACGGATTGTTGTGGTGTTGATCCACTGGGGCAGCAGGGCTAGAGTGATGGCTAAATGGTGTGTCTCCAGTCAGCTTGTGAGGTGGCACTTGTTACATCCACGGAGGAGGGTCACTTCCACTTCAAGTTAGCAGAGACCATGAGTCTTTTACTTGTGAGTTGGAATGCTGCCTTGTACAAAGAGACCTACATAATCGAGAAATTTGGATGAGCACATATGCAGAACTCAGATAGTTTCTAATTGTTTTCTTATGTGTGTCCCCCCCATCTATCTCGCTGTAGCCACCTGCTGTCTCTTGTCCAATACCAGATTCTAAGCTTTTCTGGGGGCAGGGACCATCTTTTTGTTCTGTGTTTGTGCAGCGCCTAACACAATGGGGTTCTGGTCCATGACTGGGGCTCCGAGTTGCTACAGTGTTACAAATAATAAGTAATAATCCTAGGCAAAGGGAAACTACCAATATCATCTTTATATTATGCTGTTTTGCCCCAATGAGATTTCATCCAGGCCTCCTCTGTCCTTTTTGTACTGAGCGAGATGCTAACTCCTACACAAGAGATTCATGTCCCCGGCTTTCTTTTAGTAGTGGCCGCTGTTGTGTCTGCCTCTTCCCCCACAGTGTGTAGGGCAGAGTGGCCATCTTTTCAAAAAATGCCTTCTAAGTCCTGATCCTATAATGAGAATGGTGCAGGAGCAGGGGTCCACCCCTGCAGAGCTCATTGCAGGATCAGAGCTTAAGTTTGCGCTCTCAAACACCTGCCTTTTAGTGAGCTCCAGTGGGAGTTCCACACAGAAACTGGAGAGTTACCTCTGCAACTGTCTGCTTTGTGTGCCCAACTCTTGGCTTTTGCACCTCAAATAGTGGGTGAAGATGGAGAGGCTCCTTTGGCAAGTCACTCCTACAGTAGCATCTAACTAATGGCACAACAGATGTTGTGATTGGAGGGATGATCTAGTGGATAAGGCTCTGGACAGGGATGTAGGAGAGCCAGGTTCAATTCCTGGCCCTGCCACAGATTTCCTGTGTGCCTTTGGGCAGGTCACTTACTCTACCCTGTTCCTCATCTGCATAATGGGGATTGGCACAGTGTTTTATGAAGATGAAATCTGTTCATGACCAGGAGGTGCTCAGATACTAGGGTGATGAGGCCCATATATGTACCTAGATACAAGATAATGGTCACATGAAATACTGTACATGCTCTTGCTGCTTCTTGCTCCAATAACTTCTTTCAAAAGTGCAGGACTCTATCGCCTTTTAGACAAGAAAAGAAAATATAATTAATAAAACATCTAAAGTAAAGATACTATCTAATATGTGTAGAACTAAGAACACTGTTCTAAAATAAGCATTAATTCTTGAAACACATAGCTAGAGATAGGATATGCATCACCTGAAGTCATAGTAGAGAAGTGATCCTTTTTGTTCTGCCATTTAAATGGGCAAAGCAGAGTTTGCAGAACTTCATGAACATGACATCTTTTCTTGGCAAAGTGCATGAAGACAGTGCAGAATTATACTTGGAGCAGAGTCACAAGAGCTCACATAATAATCTCTTTGTCAGGCTTAATTATTTGGAAAGTTCTTTCTAAGGCCGTACGAACTAACTCAGTCTGCTTTGGTGCATTGTGGAAGAATGCCTGACACACTTGGTCACAGAGTTTTTTTAGCCATTAGTTCTGATATTTTGAAGAAGAAGAAGCCATGAACATTAGTGAATCTAACAGTCAGTGAGTACTCCACTCACTACAGCTACAGTCTTCAGAAGTCATGCTCAAACCCTACTATAGTGTCTACTCCAAAATGCTGCTTTGGCTGAGTTCTTTGTAATTAGAAGAACAAGAGTACTTGTGGCACCTTAGAGACTAACAAATTTGTAAGTATTCTCACACTTCTTATCAAACTGTCTGTACTGGGCTAGCTTGATTATCACTTCAAAAGTTTTTTTTCTCTTAATTAATTGGCCTCTCAGAGTT